CCCGACGTCACACCCGTGTGACGTCGGGCCACCGACGTTTACATAGAATATAAGACACATATGTAACCATAGAGTATAAGACGCTCATGTAACCATAGTATGTAGGACGCATCATATAGTCAAACCACATATAACCGTAGCTTGTAAGATATTATTCACTCCATGTTTAACCGTAGGCTTAGGACACATTATATCCTCCTAGTTCGTAATACATATTATATCCAATGCTTATGTTGGATTTATTCAACACAATAAGTGTTGCCTTCAACAAAAATCATCGGGTCGTAAACTTTCACTAACGTTGGAGTTTCGACGCAAGAGGTTACAGATGTTTGTGTTTTACCATAGGACCCATAGGGTCTATAGACTCGTAACGGATTTTTCCTTCGACGAGTTTTCTTATTCTTACGGTTTTCGTTGACTAGTAAAGACGTACCTTTCCGAGCTTCAAAAGTTAAATTAAAGTTTCTGTCAAAACATAATTGAGTATCATTACTTTGTCTCACCGCCTATTTCCTATAGCTTATTCATATGTTATCGCGTAAAGTTACGGACCAGTATGTAACCAAGTAGCGTAGGAACCACTCGACATTCCTTTCCCACAAGATAAGTCCTTTCTTCGAACCTAATCTCATAAACATCCTGAAGTCCTTTCCTCGAACCCAATCTTATAAACATCCTCCTGATAATCCAACTCATAAACATCCTTTAAGACAAATTAATCATGATATCCCTATCGACTCCAGACCATAACATCCGTCAGAACAAAACTCCTTTATTCCAAATCATTATTTCTTGATCACGTTTCATAAACTTCCTTTAGATAAGCCCAATCCTCCGTTATCAGACACCTAGCCATAACATCCTCTTACATCAGCCCAGAACGTTCTAGAACGATTTCCTTTGTCCTTAACCACTATAAAAGCCACCTCATTCCTTATTACCCAGCTCCAGTCAGCCATAGTCTGCCTATCAATAACCTCAGTGATAGGTAATCCTGCCTGAGGCCCGTCCATCCATCCAGCAATCATCATATCAGCCCAGTCTGATTCCTCGGGAGATCGTAACCGACTCCCCTTCCGTCGAGTGAGTAGACATAAGAACATATTATAAAGGAACCACACATATATATATTCGAGGGTTTATTATTGAAGAATATATTGATATATAATTATACTGTGTCGACTTCAATACCTAATACCTGCACGACTTGACTTATACTATCGAACCTCCGAGCTTCAGTGATAAATCACGCAAGACGTAGTTAACCAACTACGGCGAGGACATAGAAATATTTCAACGTCTCCAACAACAGCTGCTTCCACGGGACCCAGGGCCACGACGTACGCCTAAGAGCTGCGCTAACCCGAAAGCTGAGAGAAATAATCAAAAGATACAGTCAGCGAGGCGAATGAAATAGAATATTATTTCGTTGGACACCCCTGGTTGTAACAAAATTGGTGACAGCGGTGGGATTGACTCAGCACCGTGGAAAGATAGCTGCCTACGTGACATTTTACGGGCCAAGATTACGCAGCGTGAGAAGAAACAAAGCAAGCAAGGAGGTCTCGAGATAAGGAGTACGCCATACGTTAGGTGACACCGGCCAGATGCTCGACCGTAGCGAGCGGGAGATAAGGGCGCTGCATTCCTGAACGCGCCAGTTCCCACGACGCGCCGGGTCTCACGCCAGCGCGTGTGACGCACTCGCTGCAACCGCAGCGGCTCGCTCATTCAATCACGCTCCGTAGTACGGTGAAGACGTTTAGTTTCGCGCTTCAGTGTTTTCGATAGAGCAGATTCCTAACGTTCTCGACTTTGCAAGCGGTACGTGCGCTCCAGGGCTGTACTACATCTTGCCTGGAAGGGACTTAGTGTATTCTGTGCACAAATTCGTTAGTTCTCCGTAGATATTCGTGTCACACTTGCGCGTAAAAGCGAAGGTGTTGCCACGGTATTGAAAGAAACTACGAATTTTTCGCGTATAAATAGTGATTAGCTCAATAACGAGCCGACAACCGCTGCTGGTGAACGGATTTTTGCGCGTCTCCGAACGCTGCTTAATACGCTAACTAACAGCATGTCGGTAAGTCATTGAGACTGGGTACAGAAATCTTACCTTTCTTTTACACGGGTTAAATCATTTTTATTCATCATCGTTTAAAAATTGGGGAAAAAGGAAGCGTGGCTGCCGTGCGGGCAGAAGAGTAAAGGCAAGGAAGCTGCAGCTCCTTGAGGAGGAATTCCTGGAACAAGTGTTTGGACCAGAGATAGTGACATTGGACAGTGAATCGGACACTGGGACGTCATCACGCGAAGTGCCGTTGTTGAGTTACGATATTTTGGACACAAAAAGTGCCATCAAAGTGTATAAACCAGCGGGTTATTCCCCGCTAAAGTGTTGGTTGATTTTTTTTTTCGTGCGTTCCACGAGGGCGAGTGGTCGTGCCCACCCACAGTGAATGAGTTCTGTCATCAACATGCCGTCTCAACCGGGTGGGACCCAGAGGACGTCGACGATGGAGCTTCGGCCCAGACAGACGGAGCAAATAAGCGAGGACGAAGTCGCCATCATCCAAAAACAGCAGATTGAGAAGGAGAAACGCCTCCGGGAGGAGACCAGGAAACTCGACGATGAAAGACGTGAGTTAGAACAAGCTCGTCGACAGAACGAGGCATTATTGGCAAAAATCCGGGGCGCTGAAAAGGACCAGGGCGCAATCCCGAAGAAGATGGACATTCCCGAGGAACTTCCCGCAAGAATGGAGGTGCCGAGCGTCGCTGTCGGAGGTGAATCTGTCAGCTACACATTAAGCGAAGCCGTGAAGATGGTACCTGCGTTCAACGGCACAACACCGACTTTGTTAACATTTACGCGAACCCGCAAAAGAGCTCGACAGTTAATTCCGCTAGTGGAGCTTATTGTCGGACGCCTGAGCGGACATGCAGCTGCCGCCGTCGAAGATGAGGAAGCGGACACCGTCGCCGAATTATGCAATTTGCTGAAGGATATCTTCGGACCACAGCGAACCATCGATTACTACCGCGACGAATTGGCGAATGCGTACATGAAGAGCGGTGAGCACATTTTAGACTTTATAACTCGTGTAAAGGATTTGCGCGATGCGATCCTCGATTGCGATAGAAGCATTCCTGATGTAGACGAAATTAACGATTTCGTAAAAAATTGTTTTATCGACGGATTAATGTCACCGTTGCGTTTAGAAGTGAAACAGGTCGCGTCTCAGCCGTTAAAATGTGTGTTCAGGGAAGCGATCTCCGTATTCAAGCGCCTCGAATTAGAAAAATCGAGACTAGGTCGTACCGAAACGCGTCGCGTGAATTTTGAAAGGCGCGACCAAACACCAGAATGGCGCGAGCGTAGGCTAAGTAGTCCACCGCATCGCGACTCGTGGCGGTCAACGTCACCCGCTCTGTCGCGAAACTATCAATCAGACCGTGGATTTACGCGATATCTTCGTAGAGACGATAGGCGAGATCCGCCACGATCGGAAAAATTTTGCCGGTTCTGTAATATTCCGGGCCATGATCTGCACGAGTGCAGGAGACGACAATACAGCGAACGAATGCGGAATTCCGGAAACGAGCGAGCCCTCCCACCCGCGGCGACCAAGGGATGGGAGGGCCCAAGCACGAAAACAGTGCACGCGGTCACACTAGAACAGCCAGAATCAATTGCGTCGACGGCTGTGAAACAACAATCCCCCAAATCAGAGTAAACGCTCCGGAGCTAAAATCGCAGTCGGTTATGATGGTCGACACCAGTGCTGAATCTAATTTAGTTAAACTTGACGCTCTAAAACCCTACACGCGAGTAAACCTCGAAGATAAATTAGAGATTTCTGGAATCACCGCACACACAATCGCGGCACTCGGCACAGTGAACATAACATTATTCGGTGCACAATTTAGATTTTACGTAGTCCCTGATTCTTTCCCTATATCTATGCGGAGAATATTGGGGCAGACTTTCTTAAAAGACGCGGAAGTTTCTATGGGAGATCAGTGCGTTCGCTGGAAGGAATTAGTTCTACCATTTGATAATCCGGATAAACTTGATTCAAGGCCAAAGCATTTAAAGGAAATGTTCGATCGATCAAATTGTACTCCCGATTCGACTGTTAGGGGTAATAATGCTTCCATTCGGCAAGGCATTCGAACTTCCTATACACTCAGATAATTTACACAATCAATCTTCGCGACCATTAACATCCGCACAAATATCGAACCAGGATAACATAAATGATAACTCAGACTCGTCGAATTCCAAGAGCGAGCAGATTGGCGATTGCACCGCGCTAACTTGATGTACTATATTTGGTATTAGGGATCAATCGAAGGTGTGGCGAGATAATTTGGCCTGTTGTATCTCGATGGACCACCACCCTTTAGACCGGGAAAGCTCAGACGCGGTAAACGGAGAAAAATCCCGAATCCCCAACGACCTGGAAATAACCATTCCGCGCGCGGAAAAGGGTATAGTTGACAATACTATTTCTTCGCCGGTAGTAGCTCATATGGCACAAAAATCTATTAGGGCTACCGAAAAGTAATCAAAATTTCTTCGATGACTTCAAAGTTTTTCAACGAAAAATTGAAGTACTTTTTTAAAAAGGGAATCGAACAAATGCCTTTACGCTAACAAAAAGCATTAGAAAATAATGGAAATGATTTTGTTGATTAGCATTTAAGATTTCTTTAATAAATGAATGTTTTTCGAAAGCAAACGAAATTTTGATTACTTTTCGGTACCCCTAATATTAAGAACCAAGAATATCTAAAAGCATTAGACATCAATATTTCTCACACTGTAATAGACGCGCGAGAAAATTTGGCGAAGATATAAACAAGAGCTCCCCGGTATCAGAATAGTCAGGTGCGCGTGACGAATTTCAGAGAAGGCGATCGCGTTATTATATTAAGTAAGTCAGGGTGTGAAAGAAAACACGTGGGACCCTACGAGGTCACAGAAATACTGTCAAGCGACATCGTTAAGATAAATGTAAATGGAAAGACGAGAGTGTTGCGAGCGGATTGCGTGAGAATGTTTGAAACAAACCCCACTGCGGCGGTCCATATCGTAACTCAAACACGCCCACCGGTAACCACAACAAAAGTCAGCAATATAAGCGCGAGCGAAGCAGGACCACGACATTCGAGCATCAGAAAACTCATCGGCAACATCACAGTACTCCTGCTAATTCTATCCACGATACTGTCGGAAATGGGGAAGCACAGCATATTACAGCTAACCTTTCCAAAACGAGCCAACTGGAACCACTCAACACAGGAGTGCCTGCTTGCCAGGGCGCTTATACCACGAGGATTTCACCTACAATGCACCAAGTGCATTGGAAACATTCAAGAAGAAAGGAAGTGCAATAGAGAACGACTAAAATGGTTTTGGGATGAGAAGACACCCCTGGGGTGGACCAGGCCGAACATCTTTGGCCTTTGGGAACTGTTTGGCGTGGCGAACGAGTTTAACGGTATCAGCGGACCGGAATGGGTCCAGAACGCAGACATGTCGGCAGTGATACAGGGAGCAATCTTCATGGAAGTCAAGAACCAAGCCGAGAAGTTACACCCCAGGGACCAGCCACCAAGTCCCTTCAGAATAAGCACTCCGTTGCTGTCCTTCCTAAGGGTCTGGAGAATGTTGAACCTCCAGCCGGTGAATGAAGTAAAAAACGAAAAGGATCGAGAGCCGTTTTGCGAGTATTGCCAGGTCAGCGGGGCCGAGGATGTGTGCTTTCGTCGAGATCATTTCTTCCCGCCACCTGAGAAAACCAACATCAGGGGAAACCAGGCATCAATCGTCACCGAACCGACCCAACAACCAGCCAACCAAAAGGGGAAGCAACGAATGAAGAAGATGGACGTGCGACGAATCGAATGGCCATGGAAAACTAACGGTGAGCAGCCACCACCCCAACTAACCAGACACCCAGGACCGTCAAATCACAGGTGTGATATACCGGAGCATCCAGACAAGAAGGTCTATTGCCGCACCAGGCTCCCGGTATTAAACAAAAGTGACTAGTGACCCCCTTTACCCCTCCCTTATTTACTCGCGAAGTCAATTTTCCTTGCGTAAAAATTGACTTTTTCTAGGGGGGGGGGGAAGG